GAATGCTAGAAGGAGAGACTGGTGCTATCTCCATCATGCACCTTTTCTCACTCATGCCGAATTGTTTAGTGCAGCAGATGCGTTTCACACGTGCATATGCACTCAGCTGTCCTCGTCTCCTTTAGACACGCTTATTTCTTTTGATGGTATTTAGAACTCATGCTTCTCCTTTGGAATAAGCTTCAGTGAGGAAGGGCTTCATGGGCAGAAAGGAGCTTCCATTTTGCTAAGGAGAAAAAGGACAAGAGTATAGTTAGTGCCCGTCTAGTTTCTAGAGATTCTTCTCCATCATATATAACTCTGATAATACTACCTTCAGAGGACACTAAGCAGTACTCCAGCTCTGATGGCCCCACCTGAGGAGTAAGACTGGGTGTTTGACTTTGCCTCAGAGCACAGATTCACAATAATTCAAATAGAATTTTCATATGTTATGGAACTATGCCACTGATGCCAAAATAGAGTATAATATTCAGAGTTTAGATAAATTTACACTCTTACCTTTCAGGAAGGAGACATCTTTTTTTTCTTTGTGAATCTCAAGTGAAGGGCCACAAGGAGCCGGTTTCCAACTTCCTTCCAACTCCTACACCTTCACACTGGCTCTTCCTCTTGCCTCTCCAGCCCACAGAAGGCAGTGAGCGCCTTGTTTTATAATGTTCACAGGTTCCAGCGAGCGTGCATTCCACCCAGACTTTTAAGGCCTAGTTAGAAGGACTGGAACTTAGCCTCTAATCTGTGGAGCAAAATTCAACAAGAAGAAGCCCACAAGGAAGGTACTGATTTTTCCTACCCGCAACCCACTTCTTAGTAACTGGCTATCTGCCCTCAAAGCAGGAACGCAGGTAGCCATTACATCTGAGAGCTACGCCTGGCTCTGTACATGACTCAAAGTCACCTGGCACCACATCGGTTCTACATTAAACGGCGTTCTGCATTATTTTCATGATTTAGAAGAGGCACAATCCAGGCTCTGATATTTGAACACAAAATCTTAAATATTTTATTTTGTGCTAAAATCAAACAATATTTCAATCCAGAAGATGTCCATCTTCCAGCTCCTTTTGGAGTTATTTTCTGGGCCTTCAGCCTGTGGGGACTCCTCAGAAATGGAGAGGCTGTCAGACAGTATTTATGCTTATGGTTCTGAACTTCAGAAGCAGTTTGGAGCTAGAGAGAAGAGAAAATTGGGAGGTGACGCTGTCCAGCTTTGGTGTAGATGCCCACAGGCCTGGAGAATGAAATGTTCTGGGAGGTGTGCAAACAATTCTCTTTCGGAAGCAAAGTCTGGCCAGAGCACCAGGATCCATGATCACACAAGATATTTTTCGTGAATTGCATGAGGCCACATGAGACTCACGTGTTTCTGTGCTATAAATGCAAATCTGTTTCTATCCTGACCTCCTGGGATAAAAAGTAAGTTAGGAACCAAAGGGACAGAAAAAAGAAGAAAGAGTAGTGTTGAGGAGAGAGCATAACCTTGGGGCAGAGGTAGAGCCCGCGGGGTGATCTCAGATTATATGTTAATTAAGTATAGTTTACAGTTAATTTCAACTCCAATTATTGTAATCTAATTTACTCCCTCCCAAAGGAATTTCTACAGCCATCCAAAAGTAATAACAATAATATATTGTGTTAATTGAGTCCTAGTAAATAGAGGTAATTCCTCACAGTGATTGCAAATATGAGCATTCATCAAAAAAAAAGTGCAAGAATCGCTGTGTAAAACCCAGAGTGTCAAATTTACTTGAATATCGGCTTTGTTCAGAATTTGCATTACTTTGTTAAGGGGAGGTGCTTGTGATTTTTTTATTGCGGTAAAATACATACAACATAACATTTAGCATTTTAACCGTCTTTAAGTGTACACTTCTGCATTAGTGTATCCACATTGTTGTGCAGCCATCACAACCATCCATCCCCAGAACTTTTTCATCATCCCAAGCTGAGACTTGCATCACTTTTCACACAGTCTACGAGCTACCTCAGATCCCCAAAGGACAAGAACTACACCCATCTTCCTGCTCAGTCCTGGGGAAGACTCTAAAATACAATAGAATATAGCATTTTAAGGTTCACAAAGTATTCATCAATGCTCACATCAACCTCATATGCCTCCTGTAAAAGGGAAAAGGCCAAGGCTCAGAGAGGGAGACAGACTTGCTCAAATAGAAGAGATCACATCAACCTCATATGCCTCCTGTAAAAGGGAAAAAGGGGGACAGACTTGCTCAAATAGAAGAGACAGGTACAACTGCACGAGGTTTCCGGCGTGCAACCCTTTGTACCTCACCGCCTCTAACCCTGAGGAGGAGGAAGAACTTCCTCCAAGGGCAGAGCTGTCTCTTGTCCCACCCTTTGCTTTGTGGGATTCTCACTGTTTTGAGGACTATTGGCCAGAGCTGCCTGGTGGCCCATAAAAAGAAGGCAGTTCTCTTATACAGCACTCACAGCAGAAACCAACTTGGGTAGTTCAGCACTGTCTCGTCTCTCCTTCTTCATTTGTATCAAAGCAAACCCACGCCCCACCCACTTTTTCACAGGATCACCATAACACACACCCTATCACCCTTCTCTCTGCCCTCTTCCCAAGCACACACTTCCTCTATTTCTGATCACTTTAACAAGATTTCCTCTGCATAAAAATGGGAGCAACCAAAAGATCCTGCCTGGTGTGATTTCTCCTTCCTGCACCATGTAGTATGGTTCTACCCATGACTTCCCATCATGCTCAAAATGCCCTATGTGATTCGTGGATCAGCCACTTCCATCTAGATGTCTAGGAGCTTCCAAGAGTCAGTTTGTCCCTAGGTAGTTCTTGGCAAAACTGCATTATGAATGACAAGTGCAGACTTCTTACCACAGCTAACTGTGGTTCTAATTGTGTTCTAATTATTTTCAGTACTGTTCTTCACAGTACTGAAAACACAGGGACATACTGTCATCCAAGCATTAGATCCTCTGAATTTCTGATCTGTCTATGTAGGGTTAGGGTTAGGGTTAGGGTTATATATAGATAGATCTATATGTACAGATAGATCAGAAATATATATATCACATGTATATAATACACACACACACACACACACACACACACACACACACACGCCCTAAATACACATTGAACCACACTGTATTCACTTCCTAGGCTGCCACAACAAATTACCACAAACTGGACAGCTTAAAACAATAAAGATTTATTCTCTCATAGTTCAGGCTCAAAGTCCAAAATCAAGGTGTCATCACCTAAAAGCTCTAAGGAATAATGCCTCCTTGCCTTGCCTCAGCTTCAGGTAGCTCCCAGCAGTCCTTGGCATTCTTGGACTTATAGCTACATCACTCATCTCTGCTTCTATCTTCACATGGCTGTCTTCTCTGTGTCCTCTGCTCTTCTTATTGGATTTCAGACTCATCCTAATCCAGTATGACCTCATCTTACCTTAACTAATCACATCTACAAAGGCACTGTTTCCAAACAAAGTCACATCCTGAGGTTTCAGGTAGACATGAACTTTCAGGGAACACTTATTCAACCCATACACTCGACTCCCATCTCCAAGGTGCGTTATATCCAATTTCTTGTTTTCTTTGTCTGTTTTTATTTTTGCCTCTAGCACCTGCTCCATTTCAATCCTGCTCTTGACCACTGCCTTGTGGGAAACCTTTCTGAGGCATCTGCCTCCAGGCCTCCTACCCCATTAAATATCTCTAGACTTCGCTTTAAAATGAAGGCATGAACACTTGGTCAAGAAAGAAAAATATGAAGTTGTCCAGAGAGGGTTCATGATTTCACATATCCCTCTCTCCCTATTCTCCCAAGAAGCAGTGTGTGATCATCTCACATTCAGCCTTGCACTGGAGGTTATAGGAGTTCCTGCCCTCTGGAGATTTGGTACATGATAGAGAAGCAGGCTATTGCATAGCTAGATGAGCAGAGAAGGTGAAAGAGCCAGGTACTGATGGAAGGACTGGATTTGAGCAGGTGGTGGAGAAGACAACACAGGGACAACCTAGTAAAAAGCATGGAAGTTCAAATAAGCCTAGAATCTTCAGGGGACTATGAACAGATCTCATTTGAGTAGATAATGGGCTTTGCTGCAAAGGGTAGGCTTGATCAGTGACAGGTTATAAAGGTAAATGTTTGTGGATGTGAACCTGATCCTGTAAGGCCTCGAGTCCAGGCCAAAAGGACCCATTAAGGGTTTCTAAGCAATTGGGAAATTCGACTAAGTGGTGTTCAGGGAAGCCAGATCTAGTTGGGTGTGCATGATGGACTAGGGTGAGCAGGGAGTTGGCGAGGAAACACTGGCTGGGAGCCCAGTTAAAAAGACAGACTCCAGGGCCAGAACTTTATTCCTCAACTATCGGTGAATCCCCCCATCCACTGCTGTAACCTTCCGCCAGACACTGCAATCAATACAGCCATCCCGACAGGGCTGGGCCTCCAGCCCTCCCTTCTCATTAATGTGATGAGCTGCAGAGGACATGTCAGTGAGAGCTTTCAGTGAATTCCAGGAATGGAGATACCGTTTGGACAAAAATCCCCAAAGAGAAGCTCAAGAGTGCTTTGCAAATCAACACATGAATGGCTCTTATGGACAACAGCCTGTCCAGAGAGGACAGAATCACTGTCGTAGCTCGGATCCTCTTCTTCCCATTACTGTACTTTCCTAGGAGGGGCACTGGCATCCAGGAGGTAACACAGTGACCTCCAACTCAGGCACTGCTTTGTACTGGAGGCCATTAGGCAGGTGATTATCATCTCCTCATTAGACTGGGAGCTTCTCAGGAAGAGTAGACTGTCTCTCCCATAAGGCTCCATCAGGGTCCCTCACGTCACCAGACACAAAGTCCAGGGGTGAAACACAGCACCATTTCTATCCTCTTCATTCACCCACAAACTCCCCTGCTGGGACCTTAAGGATCAGAGGGAGGGTGGAGGTGACATGGAGGAGGCAGTAGCAAGCCTAGAGTGTGGTAGAAAGAATCATTTCTGAGGTCCACAAGGCACATCTTTGAGTCCCTTTTCTTGACTTAGGCCTTCATGGAGAAATATGAGAAGAAAGGGAGCTCCAAGAAGCAGGAGGACGGCTGACTCCTCTGGTTTCCCTTCTCCTTAAAAAAAAGCTTTGTACACTATCACAGAAAGCTCCCGCTAGCCCCATATCCATAGCCACCCTTGCCTGGCTGTAGATGAGCCTGGAGCAACAGGCCTCAGGAAAAAGCCTGCGGCAGGGACACCCACAGGGAAAAGGGCTGGTGTGGAATTTCCTGACTGCGGCTGAGGCAGAGGGGAGAGAATGCACACTCTTCCACTTCCATCTCTATTGGACTAGAAGTCCAAGCTTGGCTAGAAATAGATGGTGCCCAGCAGAGCAGTCCACAAGGAAAATGACCCTCCTCCAGATTGTTTCCCCATTTTTAGCAATCAGTCTAAGCTGAAATACATATCAACTGTACCCCCCTTTGTTTCTGAAGAGAGATGAAACTGAGGATCTGTTTGAACTAAAATTAAACTCCTTCGGTGTGTAACTTCTTGGTGGTGTTCATGTATTGAATCTGACTCACACTTTTGATGTGGAAAGGTTTTATTAACATAGCTACTTATCCCAGCCCACTCCCACTGGATTCATGGCACTTGCCCAAGGTACATTTCAGCTATTTCTACGTTACCTTAAATCCTGGCATGGATTAATGTTGTATGACAAGCACATTCATGGATACTAAAAGATTCCA